TAAAAGAAAAAAGAATTCTGGGTGACCGTTTCAGTAAAGAATTCAATTTTTACGTCCTGTTTCATTTTTGATCGAGTATCTCTTGAATGTTTCTGCGGGAAATCTGCTCGTTTATGGAATATTCTTATTAGGCAAGGATAAATATATAGTGAATGAATATTTAACATGTTGGTTTTTTGATATAACTCTCTTGTTGAAAAGAGTCTATTTTTGCAAAGATAGAATGCAGGAATTCAATATTTTATTATAGATTCGACAAGAAAGGTATAGACTATTATAAGATTTTTTTGATAGTATGTCACGTAGTACATAAAAAGTGTGCATTAATAATCTGAGCCTTTTTGTTACAAAGTTATTATGTTCCGTCCAGTTTAGGTGCTGATCTAAAATGACTCCGAGGTATTTTATAGATGTGGTTTGTTCTATGGTCTGACAGTTGCAGTATACGCATTTTTATTTTGTAGTTTATTGGGTTGATCACGAAGAGTGGGAGAACAGGTCAGATACTTTGTCTTGTTTACATCACATGTATATTTTTTGTAAATTTGTTTTAACTGTCTCTCTTATTTCATGCCAAGACATTTCAGTGTAAATTAGAGGAGTATCATCGGCATAGCATATTATTACATCGCCAATGAGATTGTTGATTTTTGTTATAGTGTAAATGAGAGAAAGCATCGGTCCCAAGACGTTCCCCTGTAGTATACCAATTCATACAGTCAGTTCGCCACTTATTTCATTTCCAATTTTCACTCGTTGGATTCAATTTCATAGGTAGTTCTTCATCAAAGCCAAAGCATTGCCTCGAATACCATAGTTGTTCAATTTTTTCATGTCAAGTTCATGGTCAACTCTTACGAAGGCCTTGGTCAGGTCCTGGAAAACGGCCAAGCATTTGGTTGGCCAGTCCATGGCCTTCACAGTGGTTTTTTAAAAATCCATTATGTCATTTTACCAGTTTGAATTTTTCACGAATCCAAATTGGCTGTCAGTTATTATTATAGGTATGAGTCAAGTAGTCTTTTTTTGACACATTGTTCGAAAATTCTGGCTAGCGTAGTTATGATAGATATAGGTCTATAGTTATCAATTTGGGATTTTTTTCTGCTTTGAAAATTGTTGTTACATTACTGGTTTTCCATTTCCAAGGTATGACGCTTGTTGAGAATGTTTGATTGATGATGTAAAGGATCCACTTTTCATCTCTCGTGACGTTCCGACCTAAAAAAAAGGATCTTTTTGGTTGCCCAAAAGCAAAGAAAAACTTTTTGGCCTTCTCAATACGTTTTAAACACTCAACAACTGTATGCACCGTTTGTGATGAGTCACTCTCCACCAGTGTCCTCAAATCCTCGTTCTACTATAGGTCAACCACTTCGAGACTCATCTTTGCTAAATGCCTGGTTAACTTTTCAGGCTGTTTCGGCAGCGCTTAGGTTCAATTTGAATTCGTAGAGATAAATTGACCGAAAATCGGTAAACGAGAACAGGTAGTAAATTAAAATATGGAAAAGAAGTAACAGCATCAGTAGAGTAAGTAAAAAAATCACTATCCATTAGTATACACTACGTCATAATAGAATGATTATTCATTATGATATGGAGCTTCAAAAATACATGACATTGAAACGGACCAAACATTCGAAACAACCTAATATTTCAAAAACTTCAATTGATTCATAAGCACAAATATTGATCCAAAGATAACTCTAAGACACATTGATATGAATTGAACACCAATGGATCTTACCTGTTGTCTGCAGTTTGGAGGAGCACCTGGATAGTTTACTTCGCAAATTTGTTGTTGTTCTTTGTGAACTATTGATGCGGTGCAGAATTCTCCGCATTGTTTGGATCTGTAGTGAAAACAACGGGGTTTCGGAGTTTGAACACACTGTCGAGGGCCTATTACTGTACAGCATTTCTCCACCTTGAATTAAAAATGATTCTGGAATTTTTGAGAACACAAAAATATCAGGACACTAAGGAGTGTTAAAATTTATAGAGTTGACAATATAAATATAGGCGTCTGATCAATAAGGAGTTTCACATATGTCTCGCTTGCGTTTATGCAGTTATTTTCATCAAGTACTGTTTTAAATAATTCGCAATTTGTCTTCTATGGAGCACCGCCTGCCCTGTACTGAAGATGCTCAACAGGCTGAAACTGCTGTCTACCGGTGGCTTTCAAATTTAAATTAAATTTGTAAGCTATTTTTCTTAGAGAAGATAAGGTACTTTATTCATTATAATTTGTTTTTCCTATTGAATAGGTACTTGTAAGATAGGGAGTTCAGAAAGACTGCGATAAACAGATATTTGTCATTTTATAGGCATGTGAATACGCCTTAAGAATAGATAATTATTCTGTTATAGTCACAGTGTTGACTGTTGGTAATTGAAAGGAATACATATATTTTTATTTCACAGATGAGTGGAATAGTGTTATTGGATTGGGATGCATATCTATTCATAATCGATTTGATCTCCACAAACTTCATTTGAAAAATATATCACGGCATGTTTCGCTAACACAGTAGCTTCATCAACAGTGATATGAATACTACAAGTTGTTTCTTATACTAATATTTATGCAGGGTGTAACTGAATAAGTGTAAAACATTTAAGGAGGCGATTCCTCATCGAAAAAAATATAGGATCCTTCATATAAAGAAACCCCATTGGAACATCCCTTGTTAAGATACAGTCCCTCAAAGGGGGTACATGAAATTTGTAAAACAATTTTTTTCACAATCACTGAAAGAGTTACAATATTGAAATTGACCTGACATTTTGTACTACCAAAAAGACACTTAGCCAGTAATTTATTTGGTTTACCCCATAGTTGTAAAGGGTGGAAAACGCAACCCCTAAAATTTGTTTCCAATGTTACTTTTTGTCTTATTATTTGTTTACCATTTAAGAATTTATTTCCGATAGCCTGTTTCATTCTACACAAGAAATGTCTCTTGGGTTTTTTGCAGACTACCTCCAACAAATTACCTAAACCTCTACCTGAGGTACCTCTTCAATTATGATCACCTGAAGCATATTACCTACTTCTACATCAATAATAATTCTTTCTCGGTTTTTCTAAAGGGGGCTTTACATGCAACGATAAGTTGCAGCAATTTATCGTAACGATCAGATTGTTACAATTTATCGTTGTGTGTAAACGGGAGATTGTAGCGATTTATTGGGATTGGAGTTGTAGTGGTTGGTTGAAGCCGGCCGGCATCAATTTCTGGGAATCGTAACGAAGTGTTGAAACGTGTAACAGTTTTGTACTAATTTATCGCTACGGTTTCACTCAGTGTCCAATCTGCTTTTGCAATGTAATGTTGTTTCGTGACATATTGTTGTAGGTAAACACGGCAGAAAATGCAAGTAAACAAACACCTCGTGAGTTTTTATTTGAATTTATATATCTTCATGAAAGTTTCACCTGTTTGTGTCTCGTTAAGAGCAAAAAATACTCCGACAGGAACGAAAAACACCTAGCTCAGATTGATCTAGTCAAAAAGTTCAAGGAATTTTTATAAATCTGTTTTTTCGTTGATCAGCTGTCGCCCCTATACAAACGACTACTCTCGGAATTGAGAAACTTCTGCAAGCTAAGGGCTAATGAGGTCTTACCTTTTAACGTGTGATTCCTAACACGGTTGTAGAATCATTCTAGCTTCAACCAGATAAATTCTCTCGAGAAAAATATCTGGTCGAGGCGGGAATCGAATCCACGGCCTTCCAATCGTGAGTCGGGCGCACTATCACCGTAGCCAATTCCGTCAGCAGATAAGAACACTGTTGTGAAACGTGTACGTGGTTTATAAAAAAGAACTTCTGAAAGGTAAGAGTTCCGAGAAATCTGGGGCTGGTGCGGATGACATCTACAAACCTTGTTTGTGGTATTTCCACCGTCTTCATTTCTTGAACGACCAGGACTTTGCAAGACCAATTAGAAGTTGACCCATTATTGATAGTTATTTGAAATTAAGGTAAGTCCCAATATGTATTTATGTTTTTTGGTGGCTTGATTAGTATATCCTATATTATGGTGTCGTTAAAACAAATCTACTAAAATATAGGTTAGCAAAAGGATCTTCCTGTATTTCTGTCTGAGATAGCATACTATTCGTGTGGACGAGATGGCAGGGTATGCCTTTTCATACGAGTATGTATGCATCTCATACAATCATATTTATTTTGTTAATTTGATGGCTTTTTTCCAAACATAGTTATATATTATTACAGTGATGGGTCGGTACGAGAGAAAATCATCCAGAAAAAACTGGCCCTACCAAAATATGCAGCAAGCCATCGATGATGTTAAACAAAAAAGGATGGGATGGCTAATGGCAACAAAACCTTACTTTTGTTCATGTTTGGAAGTTATATTATACGCAAAAGTGGCATAGTGCTGTTTTGCTTCCCCCACACTGTACCCATCGGGTGCAGCCTCTGGACGTGAGTTTTTATTCGGCTTTTCGTTCATACTATAATCAAGAGCTAACCACATGGTTGAAGAATCATCCAGGCCGGAATGTAACACATTTCCAAGTTGCAGAGATTTTCAGCCCAGCATATATGAAAGTAGCCACTGTTAAGAACGCAACAAGTGGTTTTTCTACAACATTCATTTTCCCCTTTGATGCAAATGTCTTTCCAGACTGGATGTTTTACCCTGCCGATGTTACTGCCGAAGTATCCAGCGAGAACGGACGCAAGAAGTTGTTTTCATTGTTCCAGGACCATCACGTGTAATGAGTAATAAGGATGATTTTGATAAAAATAGAGACACCATTACTTAAAGTGTCGGCGTCACAGAGAAGAAAATATGGAGTTATTAATACCACCCCAGATATTGACTTTCTTGTCTAGCAAAGTCTAGCAAAGCAGCTAGACAAGAAAGCGCAAGCACTAAGGAAATCCACCGGAGCTGCAAAAAAGGTCTCAATACCTGAAGAAGACTCTGAAAAGGATAGTAGCGATTCGAAGGATGGTGTTAGGTTTGTTCTGGTTCTGTGAAATTCAGGTTCTGGAACGTCAGGATCATGCGCAGTTGATATAGAGCGTTCTGGTTTATTGAGGATAATTTCGGACTGATAAATCCTCTGTTCTGGTTTTGACTGCGAAATGATCCTAAACTGTTTTGAACCGTCCCGAAACGTTCTTGCTCTCGAGGCTGTTTTTTTATTTATTTGATTTGAATAATTGATGATTGGGGGTAGATAACATTTGAGCTGACTATAGGGATACGCTAAATAACAAAATGGACATAATTGATAGTATTTTCTCGTCTTCATCTCTTCATATATACGATAGGTGGCACAGTGGTCTCCTCAAAAGCGTTCTGGTTTAAACAAGTGTCCGAGACTATTTCGGACTGTTTGAGATTTTTTATTTGTACGCACCATGTCTTGCGCAGTTTCCAAACGTTTTGGGATGTTAGAACCAGAACAAACCTATTGCATGTATATTTTGTAACGAATTATATTCCCTTTTCCGTGCGGGAGAAACATGGGTACGATGTCAGACTTGTTTGAAATGGACCGAGACCGAATGCGCTGGCGAATCTAAAGCAACAAAAGTATTTGTTTTCGATATATGCCAACTTTAGTAGGCGGTTTCACACTATGTCATCTCACCAACAATTGTGTTGATGAGATGGCATATGGAGATTTTTTTTTTTTGATTTGTATAAAAAAAATATGAAGTTTTTCGGAGTGATAAAATTATGTTTTGATAAATAAGTGTCTTAAGTGTTCATTTCACTCCTTAGCAATTCTGTAACTTCAAGGTGCTACTAGTAATTAAGTATAGAAAAAAAGTATGCCATCTCAGTCATATCTCTCCTACCACAGGTAGAGGTTCAGGTAATTTGTTGGAGGTAGTCTCAATTATGGTTACCTGTAGTATATATCAAGCAATCAATCAAAATATGCTTTATTATCAAAGAATAACATCTTGTTGACAAAGCCTGTATAAAT